TATAAATGTAAAATTAATTGTTTTTAAGGCGCGTAAAATTATAATTTGAGTTGATGTGGGCCTTGGTTTGGTCCATGGAATCTTTCGAGTCCACACTGGAAATTCCAGCCCAGTTTCATATGAATGGGTAGAAAATAACCCATTGGATCAAGTGAAGAATGCCTATCAAACTGTCTATACATGACCGACCAAAGCCCATGCCATGAAATCGAAACCAGCAAATCCCAACACAGTGACACTGTATATAGAAATTGCAATGGGTTGGGACTATAACCCATACTCATTGATATTTTTATATATTGTTATTTTTAAAATAAATTATATATAAAAAAATGATATATTTGTTTATTTGATATAGAGAATCTTCGAGAAAAATTGCACCATAATAAAGATATGAATAGATTGAGTGTTAAGTGGTTGAATTTGTGATAATAAATACTTAATTTATAATAAAACAAAAGGGGAAGAATAGTATTGTTTCACGTAGAAAGATTAAAAAAAAATAAGAAGAAGAAAGAGGAGAGAGGAAAGAGTCATGTGTCAAAATATAACTTAAATATTACCGCTAAATTACTACATAATAATTTTATATATATAATTTTATCAACAACATTGACAAGTCAAATTTGTTAACGAGATTAAGAAAAGAATATTTATATTTTTTTTCATCTCTTGAATTCCACATATAATTAATTCTATCTTTACCAACGAAAAATCTTTCATCCTAACCATTGATGAAAATAATAATGTCATATTTTATTAGTAAACATCACCGTTATTTTTTGATAATATTCTTTTCGTTGATATTTATATTTTTATTTGATAATTTTACAGTAGTGTGTGTAATTCATATAATTTTTTATTTGAGAATCCTAACATGAATTTATATTTGATAATTTTTTAAAATTTGAATATTTTTATTGTTAAAAGGCATTTTCATCATACATAGTATTACACCATAATAAAAATATTGATAGATTAAATGTTAAGTGGTTGAATTTGTGATATATCGAATATTAAGTGGTTGAATTTGTAATGATAAATACTTAATTTATAACAAAATAAAAAGGGAAGAATAGTGTTGTTTCATGCAGAAAGATTAAAAAAAAAAAAGAGAGGGAGAGAAGAGTCATGTGTCAAATTATAACTTAAATATTAGCGATAGATTACTCGACAATAATTTTATATATATATATATAATTTTATCAGCAATATTAATAAGTCAAATTTGTTAAGGGGTTTAAGGAGAGAATATTTGTATATATTTTTTTTCATCTCTTAAATTCCACCTATAATTAACTTTATATTTACCAATGAAAAATCTTTCATCGTAACCATTGATGGAAATAATAACGCCATGTTCTATCAGTAAACGTCACTGTTATTTATTGATGATATTCTTTTCGTTGATATTTATATTTGTATTTGATAATTTTATAATAGCGCGTGTAAATCATATAATTTGTTATTGGAGAATCCTAACATGAATTTATATTTGATAATTTTTTAAAATTTGAATATTTTTATTGTCAAAAGGCATTTTCATCATACATAGAAAATGATAACAAAAATCTATTGGATGATATGATAAGATATGAGAATCTTTTTTATTCTCTTATAAAGTTAAGATGTAAGAATTTATGGGCTGATTATTATTATTGTTCATGTTGATGCTTGTGATTGGTGATGAGAGAACTCTTCAAAAATCCTACAATATTAATATTATATATACAAGGACAAATTAATTAGTTTTTAACCCCACAAGAAAACATAAAACTAGAGAATGTTATGAAGCTTTAAAACAAGCTAAGATAAAAGGGAAAAAAGCTAGTATCGATCGAGAATTTAATTAAACATATGTAGTTTTTTTTTTCAAAATCGAATAATGATTTAATAACTAAATTAATTACTCATGACATCCAATAAGAAGGAGAAAATAGGGATACCCATGATCATGAATGACATAATTGAAGTCACTAGAACTAGTGGGATGTTATATATCTACACATGTACATCGATCTGAGTTTGGATGCAAGAAGAACTTCATCACGTCAAGAATTCGATCTCCACTTATATTTCTGGAAGGAATCATCATTTCGCAAATGAATTTGGTCACTCCCCAGAATTCTCCACTTAGACCCCAAATTCAATTCCATTCAAAGATACCTAAATTCATTTGGTGGGAAATTGATTCTTCTTTCATCAAGTGTATATAATTTTGGAGATCATACAACCACTTTAAGGTATTCCAAATCAACTAACATGCATATTAAGCACGCTTTAATTTTTTAATATATATATATATATATATATATAGAGAGAGAGAGAGAGAGCTTTTAATTAAATTGTTGAAGCGTCTAATTAGTAAACGTGTAAGTTTTTTTTTTTTTGACAACTAGCTAGCTAGTGTGAACAAGATCAAACTAATTGTTTAGCCATTTATATATTACTATACTATTTGGGTTGAAATTAAATACCAATTATAAAGACTGCTTAATCATGAGATTGGAGTAAATTACTTGAATTTATTTTCATTTGGGATTCTCGTTATTCAAAAGCAAGCAGTGAAGAAAGTAAATCATCACTAAAGATGATACGATCTAAAAGATATGAAACTTGATGTAAAATGAGTTTTCAAGGGAGAAAAAAATCACATAATTAACCTTAAGATTGCTTTTGTCGATATACATATATATCATACAATTTAGATATTAAGGTCATTCTAGTTTTTCTTTAAAAAAAAAGAAGAAGAAAAAGAAGAAGAAGAAGTAAGTTATCAATCGTATAAGAAAAGAGTGAGCCCCCCTTCCTCTTTTTTATGATTATTTAAATTAATTAGTAGTTTAATTGCTTTACTTCATCGATTTGTTCGGGGGGAAAGTACATGGAAGAATAATTTGAAGATTTTTTGGCATGAACTTATATTTTAATCTTATTATTCTTTTTTAGAAATTAAATCTTATTATTATAACAACTAAAACTTTTTCACCCTAATTCGCTAGCCCATCTGCTATCTTCAATAAAAAGGGTATAACGCCATCTAATATCCCTTACATTCTATGCCCTTCTCTGTCCAAATTAACAAATGAGATTTTGTTTTCATCCCATTCCTTCCCCTCCTATCATGATTATTTTCCTGACTCGAAAAGCATATATGGGATCAATCAAGACACTGAATTTTCACTGAATTCGTAAGGAAACATTTGAGATAACCCTTGTTATGCCTTCTTGCCTTCCCAGTAACTGATGATTGGTGCTGCTGTATGACGCTAGTTAATTAGATCATTTAAGGGTATCTTGAAGTTCGGCGATGACCATGGAGAGTGAAAAATTGATACGAGAACGTAAATGATGATGTTGGAGTATTTTGAAAAGGCAAACTAGCATAAAGATAACATAAAACATAATCCATGTCTGATTTTGAGAATATTTTGGACACCCTTTGATATTTTGGCTTTAAACTTGTTACGAGTAAATCACCTCAACTTCAAAAACTCGTTACATGACGCCCATCATAGGTCACCGCCAATGCTAGTTAAGGGTTGCTTCAGGCCGCAAAATTTATCAGTTGGAACTTTATTTCCCTAATTTTGTGTTTTTTTCATCATTTGTAGCCTTTTGGGACTCGATTTCATGTTTATTTCTGCTTAAATCTTATCGACATACTTGTTTTTGTTTTTGATAGTATTTTTATCTTATTGAATAATCAGTATTTACCCATTTTGGTAAATTTTGTAACCCTAGCTAGTTATTTAAGCCGGTTAATGGGCTATTTCATAATAAACTGGATTATCCAGACTCTTTAATTTTCTCCCGTTGTGAGACTAAGAGTTTTAGATTGTTCCTGCCATGAGGTAGTTCCTGCTATATATATCTGCAGGCAAAATTGTTCATGGTATTCTATTTTTGACAGCAAGCCATTTTCAATGATATTTTCTTCTACAGATTTCCTTTAACTTCCCTTAACTTCAACAAATTCAACCCTGGGCCGGTTACGAATTAACACACTACAAGTTATAAATCATTTAATAATTTTAAAACATTATACTCCTTATTAGCTTCAGGTATAGAGGAGTGCAAGCATACTTAGACACACACACACACACACACACACACAAACACACATATATGCATTTATGTATGTATGTATGTCTACAGTACTAGCTAGCCTTCTATGTGACAAATCTAACAATTCGAAGTAGCTAGCTAACATTATCCAGAATGGTTGAAAAGTCACTGGGAAAAACATTCTGGAGAAAGGACAAAAGCGATTAAAAAACAATTAACCAGCTCGATGAACATTTTCTTGATTATTGATCATCAGCTCAGTACTATCATTCTATGAATTGCGTATGCATAGAGCATGAATACATGAATGGAGTCTGTTATTCTTGACAAATAGCCAAACCCTGGTTTCAAACGAAGAAGCTTGCAACTTGATCATGATGATCAACATCAACAACACAAAAAAATGTCAAATACTCATGGAGATTATAGAGATCAAACAGCGAAGTGTTGTAGACCCGGCCGCATCTTTAATTTACTACAGCTCTAGATCGATCGCATCTTCATTGCAGGGAAACCTGCAAGCTATACAGCTCCAAATCTTCAGATCATGGTAGAGTAGATGATAAAAAGGGTATCAGATTATCAATCCGTGCACTTCCGATATTGACACCACCACTTGTGCTAGTTCTTGATTTCTGGAAATTAAGCAAATGACCGATAAAGATGCTAGTGACGCATGTCTTCAATTATAAAATCTCCATGTGTCATGTGCCTTGGAACTTGATTATATCTCGAGCAGCATATGGTGTTCCCAGCACAGAAAATTCACCTGCAATAATTTTTAGAAGCAAACATAAAACCATAGGACCACAACTAAGCAGTCTAGAGATCCTCGTGTCCTCAGGGAAGAAGATATCAAATTAATTTGTGTTTAATACGAGGGTCCTCTCCTTTAGCTGTTTAAGCTACAAAATTAACTGCTCCTTAATTCCCAACATAGAAGAATGGAAGGGGAAATTTTTACTAAATCTAGCATCATTAGGATCAGGACCATGCCACCTGCAAAAGATATTAGGTAGAAACAATCAAATTCATTAACACAACATCTTATTCAGATTCCCAACAAGCATTCGGTAAAGAAATCAAACAAAACTTGAGATGAGCATGTGCAAAGGTAATAATATTGCTCAATGCTCAAGAAACAAGCTCAAGAGTAAACATATATGGTAAGACTATTAGCAATTAAACGGAGTGAGGGGCTGAAGGTGATGACAGAAGACTAGAGAGCACAAAGGAGTGAGATGCAATTAAGCTCCATGCATTTCATCATCTGTGCTCTCTATCTTCTGTCAACATCACCAGTGCCTCCTCACATAATTCAAAACACAAACATTAAAAAAAAAATATGCGTATCTATAATAGAGCTAGGGCCGGGCCTGAGAACAGAGCTTTGGCTTCCAAGGAATTCATGAGAACCCTATCTTTTTATGGAGAAAACTGTGGAAGGGATGAAGAGACAGGGGAGAGAGAGCCTTGGTGTATATATGTTATTTTTCTTCAAGGATTTTTGTATATGACATAGTTGATCTCCAACACCTCTATTTATAGGAGAAAACTGTGCCATATTGGCTGTACCCCTAGCCTCTTTTTCATGAGATTGGTGTGCATCTACAAAGAAAAGTGTGCCAACTTGAAACTTACGATTATTTATCCCGGTTCGCGTTGTCTAGGAATATCACAGTTACCGTGCGTTAATGTTGGAAAGGAGGGGTAGTTACAACATGATTCTCACCTCGACGATTGAAAACCTAACTTAGTGTTGCTTTCGATTAATGCTACACCAAAAATAATATATATATATATAACCGTAAATAATAATAAAATGACCTAATATATATATATATATTAGGCCATTTTGGTATTATTTACGGTTTATATATATTCACTATTTATCCTTTTCTGTTTTTTAGATATGAAAATAAAAAGTATATATTTTTTAGGATCTTTAATTACAAAAATAAACTAACAATTACAACTATAGCTTTCAAGAGAGCTCCCTGTTTGACAATTGGTTGTTAGTTTATTACATTTTTAAAATAAGAAAAAATGAAAACAGAAATGATGCTAGAAGACAGTTACTTAATGATATTTTTTTTTAATTTTCCTCTCTTTAATTTCATAGCTTGTTAATTATAAGTAAAATTTTCATTATTCAAAACATTATTGGCATGAAAATTTGCTATTGTTGATTCTAAGCTTGAGGAGTCATTTGTCAGTTAAGATAATCTTGTTAAGATATATATATATATATATATATATATATAAGAATCTACGTGTATTTTCAATGAAGAGGAGAAGTCCTAGATTAATAACATGAATTGTTACCTGTCTCTTCTTAGTAAAACCCTAGCTAGTGTTTTTTAGGACAAAGTCATGGTGGGATTTTGATATGCATATCTATCATCTTCTAATTATTCTTCAGTCCACTTCAATTGATGGGCGTTTTAGTGACTCTAACATCCTAGAAATCCCTAACCTAACACGATGGACATGTATATGTATTTTCACTCCATTGATGCGTGACAGTTGTTCTGTTCTCTTCTTCTCCATATCCTGAATACTCTCAGCTGATTTGGTCAAAAGAATATGTTGTCTGACGTTAAGGGAATTAGTTGAGCTGTGCATGTCCAGTTAATGTGCATTTCTAACATTTTCTGTGGGATTAGGAGAAATGGATTCGAATCAAGTTGAATTGGTGTCAATCGGAAATCAGCTGACGAAGCTGTAACTTTTGCCCAGAATTTTATTGTGGAATCTGATTCTTCAGTTGTTGTGAGATGGCTCGACAGTTCTTCTACAAAGCCATGGAAAACATGCTGATGAGTTTTTCACTATTTCTAATCTCTTTCCTAATTAATCTTTGGTCTGTTTGTCCATGCTTTACATGAAGCTAATGGCATTGCTGCTGATGTGTTAGCTAAGCGAGAGTTTGGGAGGGAATCTGACTTAGTTGCTTGGCTATAGAAGGAAATGTAGTTACTGTCTAAGTTTTGTTTTTGGCATCCTCTTGCACTTTCCTGTTGTTCTGGTGTGTACTCTTTCATCTTTTGACTGCTGATTTTTCTGCTGCAACTTGGGCGCCTTTAATATATCCTAGTTTTATTCGAGTTTTAATTCCAAACTTTTATCAATCGTGGCTAATCTTATAAGCATGAATGCCAACGTAAATATTAAGGTTTTCCAAACTATATAATAAGAAATATTTCACGATATATATATATATCCAAATCAAAATCTCCACTGAAAAAGTGGTGATGCTATGTAGAAACTACCGCCCGCGCACATACTAGTCAATAGATTCATAGAATCACCTTAAATAACAAAAGAAGCCGCCAAGGAGAGAGGGGTACTGCAAACTGAAATTTACCAAAAGAAACATAACAAGAACTACCATGCATGTACGAATGATTAACCTTGGTGCTGGCTAGGATCAGCAAAAATTGACGACATTTGACTTTGATGTACTTATGTTAGATCCATGTAAGTGAGTATTGCAGACAAAAGTCACTGGGCTTACATGCAAGTTGATCACGACAGGAATGGAGAAGAAAACAGAAAGGTGGCCAATCCCGCATCACAAAAATCTTATCCTGCTTTTTCCTCAGCAGTCATCGTCGTCGTTGGTCTCTTTTCCTGCTAGAATTGAACATGGGGCGGTGACGACTACAATCTTTCCACCTGTCATCCCCCCATCTTCCTTTTCTCCCTATAGTCGACTTCAGCTCATCTTCACCATATAAATCTCTCCAATGTCCACACCGTGTTGTTATCGACTAGTTCAATCAAAGATATTTTGATCATCAATTCCCATAATTGAAGGTATTTTATTTTGCATAGAAAAAGAAGTTATTCGATCCTAATTTTGGGGCATTGGCTTGCACAGGCGCCAGAATATTTATTCTTTCACTTGTTATTTAGAAATATGAAAAGAGTCTCAGGAGGAAAAATTGATTTATTTAAGATCTTATAAATATATGTGATTCACATAAATCCTCACCATCAAAACAAAACAAAAATAGTTGAATCCAAAAACTAAAACTACCTCGCATAAAATGGAGAAATGCTACTCTTTTATTTATTTATTTTCCTTTTTTTGCACAAAAAAAAAAACGAAATATTCCTAATCATATAGTATGTGAGGATAAAACAACGATGCCGAAAAAACATTAAGCATAACTTTCTGTGATCCAAACGAGCTGAAAGGCATGCATTAATGGATAGAACAGACTACAAAAGGCCAAATACCATTCCAACATCAACTGGGAGAGGAGCCCAGTTCTATCGCAAGAAAGAATAAAGACAGCTAGCTATGATTGGTATCATCACACGTGTTGTCTCTTGATTTTCCTCCAATATATGGAGATGGCAGCAAATTCTTGGAATTATCCTTTTTGGGACCCTGATCTTTTCTAGACAGGATTACGTGCTTTCCCTATTTGGGCAGGGAAGCCGAAGAAGATATATCTAGTACAACATCCTCATCATTCGAAGGGCTTAATTTTCTATTGAGGACTTGTTTAATTGACATCAGAGACTATTAAGGAAAAACCTAGTTGAAACTTTTTAATTATATGTTTGTGCAAGTCACAGAAATCATTCTGAGTAATTAGCGACAATCTGCCATGTCCCTTTAGTTATAAATAAATCCTTGATCAACAAGTCTAAAGGATTTCATACGAACTGGGATTAAAATGCAGGATTCGAGGAAATCATGCATCTCTAGCCAAAGAATTCCCTTATTGCAGGTTGTGTGCTCCGAAAGCGGAATGGAGAATTTTTCAAGGGAGTTTGGAAAGCAATATTTTGGTATTGATTTTATTATTTTATTCCGCTTCTTTTGACCAGACAAATAAAGATAAGCACATCCTCTCCTTTTTTGACTTCTTTATGTTTGCATGTTATGAGCACTTAGCAAGCTGCTCCAGTGGAGGGACCTTCTCTGATCCCTCTATACATCATTCTGTGGCCAGGCCCTAGAAATTGCAAAAAGTTAGTGGTTTTTAAAATGTAAATAATGCATGCGGGTATCGATGTTAGGTTACATTCTTTCCATCCGGAGAGGGCCCGCGCGTAGTCTCGAGGGCATGACCATTTTTTTATACTTCACTCCGAATATTTTTGAAACGAAAAATTCAGATGACACTTTGTTAGTTTTTTTCTAAATTTTGACTAATATGGTAGCCATCAAGTTGAGTCCGGTGATTTTTTAATGTCTTTTAACCTCAAATATCTTAGTTATCTTAGTTAAAAATTCTAAAAATCTATATAAAAACTAAAAATTAACTTGAAATTAAAAAATAAAATTGGAGTTTAAATCTAATTTTTTAAACAATTTAAAAATAAAAAACACTTAAATAAAACTTTTTTCACCAAATAAAATTTGGTGATATTAATATAAATCATTTTGATAGTCAGGATCAAAACCAATGTTATCTTTTTATAACCAAAATTTGGCGACTCTCTCTTTCTCTTTGTTAAGTAAAGGTTTTAAAATAAAATTTTAAATTAAAATTCACTTTGTTTTGAAAATTTAGAAATTAAAGAAACAATATATATAAGTTGGAAAGTATAAAAACTACAATGCATATTATTTCCATAGTTTGAAAAGGCCACATATATTTTATATTTTTTTCACTTTGATCCCTTGTTTTTTAATCTTATTTTTTTGATAAATTAACTTAAATTAACCTATAATTTGGTGTGATTATGCCAAAATAAAAATAAAGTAAAGGGACAAAAGATGAAAAAAACATTGTGAACTATGAGTCCAATATTGTGAGGAGATTCATACTGTATTTTGCATAGTAAATCCCACTGTAAGTTACTATCATGTTTTAATTAGATATGTTTTAGAGTTTGTTATAAACTTGTAATTTTAGATAAAAAAAAATTATCTGGTTGTATTATTTATTATTATTATTATATTTTGCAATCAAGCTTTTAGAGAGATATGCGCAGTATGCAAGTAGTTAAAACAAATTTGAAAGCTACACCTTACA